TGCCTACCCCCATGGGAGACAGGCCTGAAGCTATAACATTTTCTTAGCTCATATTCTCCAGTTCTTATAACATTGTAAATTATAGATTTAGAAGCACACAGATATGGAAGCAAATACACATTGTTACACGAGACTCTCAACCCTTCTCAGAAACAGAGACCAGACACGAAACCACGAATTAATATAAATTCCACGAAGACATTTGTACGGAAAATTATAGCAAACATCGTTATTTTTGATAACATACAAACATAGGTTAATTTGTTCTCCTGGAATGTATTGTAAATTATTCCTAACAATGAGAAAATTGCTAAACACATAAAGTATCCTATAATAATAAGCTGAAAAAATATAATTGTTCAACTGGCTAAACCTAACGCAAATTGGGTTACAAATTTTAATATTAAAAACACATATTGTGGCTTTTGACTAGGGGTTTTTGTAAATTAAATTCTTTGTGGACCTATTTAAACTGTCAAATACCAAGCGGTCACCGGTGACCGCAACCTATTGTTCTATAATTGTGTCTGCAAAACCGGTACTCGACGAGTTAATTGAAAAATACCCGAAGCTACATGGAACAGATTAATTTCAAATAGAAATATTGAAAAGAAACCGCGGTTAGAATTTGCCGTATTTGTTTTATCAATAAGTCCGTATAGTTCCGTAGTAGTAGCTTCATCTAGAAGAAAATTAGGTTTAAGAATTTCCTTTATTCCTGGTTTTTGTTCTCTGTAGAATTACAAATCTGTGCTCAGTTGTGATGTCAGGAAAACACTCTTTGTGTTTTGACGTATTCTTGGCAAAAGAAAAACAATTTTGTTACTTTCAAAGCTAAATCTAGTACTTGATTCTTTCGTTTCAAGTCAAAAATAAAAAAGATAAGTAAGTAGAGGAGAATTTTGGGTATAAGTATTTTTTATTACAGTTGGTGTCAGTTTTAAATTAGGAACGGGAATCAATACGTCAAGCAATATAAGGTGTACCCAAGTTTAGGTGCAAGTTTTTTATTGATAAAAATATAAAGTTAGTCAATTCGTATTCAGACCACCAAGGATGGGGCCCAATAGGGCTGATGCCGATACGGAGTCGCGGAGAACCTAACGGGTTACCGGGGCTCCTGCTCGAAGTGCAGGAGTAGGAACGGGGTAATTTTTAGTCAGTAAGAGTCTGACACTTCCTCCCGCCTCACCCAAGCGGTAGTAGTAATTCGTTGTCATGATTTTCCCCCCTTAAAAAAGTCTATTCGTATTATCACACCAAAAATAAACTTTTAAACAACAACTCATCATGATATAGTAGCTAAAATTACTCTAGCGTTACAAACTGGCAATTGAAATCTTTTAGACACCATTGGAATTCAGGGTCTAGAACCCTGACTAAGTACAAAATCGGCCTAGCATAAAAGATTTGGGAAACCTAGACCTTAAATCTATGAATATAAAACCTAGAAAGCTGAAGCAATAAGTTGTTTTAACGGTCTTAACTGGCATTTTTATTACTGAATTTACTTTTACTATTAGAGTAGTACAGTGAACAAGGTTAGATAATAAAAACTGATCCTTTAAAGAGACGGATAACCTATGGTTGACATTTTGTAAAAAAAATCTGTCTGTTGTTAGTGACAAGCTTTTGTTTTAAGTAAACAATACCTTCTTCTATCTTCTATAGAGATTTGACCTTCGTTATAAATATACAATTTACTATACTATTGTCTCATGTGAACTATTCGAGAATTGTCTACTATTCTCTGCTCACGCTGGGACTTATATTCATGATCAGTATGCATGAATAGTATGCCTCACGATTCTTAGGATTAGTATACAAAAAACAAAAGCATTAAAAATAGCTAATGAGAAATTAATTTTCTTATAACATAACATAACGTCATGCCTTTTATACCCGAAGTGGTAGGTCTTTTTTTCTTTTTTTTTCTTTAAAAAAAAATGTTGCCCCACATTAGGATTTTCTCCTGTGTCGTGGGTGCGTTTACAAACATACAAGTTCACATACACAATGACACCCAGATCCGAAACAACAATTTGTGGATCGCATAAAGTGTTGTTCCGTGCGGGAATCGAACCCGCGGCACGTTGCACGGCAGCCGGTTGCCCAGCCACCGCACTAACCTTAATGCCCTTAATACTAAGTGTATTAAGGGCATTAAGGTTAGTGCGGTGCAATAATAAAGGTGCACTTAATGTCACTGTACAATGTAACACCGATTTTTCACTGTTTATGTTATGAGTCCCATGTCATAGGGCTGAGCCTATTGCCATATACCGGGCACATTTCCAGACTCCGTCTTACTGAGATTTTGTGATAAGATCCAATAATACTTTGCCCTACCCGGGAACTAAGCCCCAGATCTCTAGTCGCAGTCACACTTCGACCTCTCGACCAACGAGGCAGTCAGTAATTTTCTTATCTACACGCTAAATATTTAGGCTGACTGTACCTTCTCTTCTATCAAGGTTGAACTCAATGAGGCATCATAATAGCAGATTCCTAGAATAATTGACTCCAAATATTTTGCGTAGCCAAACCGAATATTTGGTTGTCTATTAAACAAGGATTAATAGTTTCTTAATTGTTACTTTAAAGGCAACGGTTCCATTTGAATTTCATTAACTTTGCTTCTATAAAATTGTTTTGTTTTTATATTTTGTACTAAGTTAATAAAAGTCTGCATAAACACGCAAGGAGGCTGTTAGGTGGCCCATTACTTTATTCGATGTCTTTTTAAGATTCTTATGATTAGGTCGTAAAGTCTGCATTGCATTTGATTTCATATTCTGTGTAATTTTGGTGATATTTATTTTTATTTACGATTTATAATTATTCTACATTGTTTTTAAATAATGATTTTGTTTGGTTTTAAAGGTTTTATAAAAAAATGGTTTTATTTATTAAGCTTCTGGTAACCTCACTCACACGACGAAACTCAACGCAAGCGTTGTTTCGCGTCGGTTTTCTATAAAGCAGTGGTATCACTCCGGTCTGTCCGGCCCATTTGTATCAAAGCATGGCTGTCCCACACTTACACGGGCCTCATGTCTAACCAGCATAATTATTATTTCTCCTATTCCATAACCAAAGAAGCATACATATTCTATTCTGTTGTATTTCTCCAATTTTTTTTTCCTGTCACACTACACTTCATTAACCGACTTCTTTTCTCTTGTCATATTAACATGTAAATGCCAAACCCATACATAGGTACTTAGCATTAGAGTAAACAGTCCTTTTGTCGTTTCTCAACAGAATATCATCTTACCTTTTCTTAGCAAATAAACAAATACCTCCATTCAGAAAACAAAGGTAGCGTTGCCAATCAATTAAGAATTCTATTGTTGCGATGTTAAGTCTAGAACTAAATTCGAGTTGTTTACAAACAAGAGGACGAAGAAACCTCATCTTTAGTAGACGTTTGATGAGCAGAATAAATAAATAGTTTGGTAATACTTCAGTATTGTGTAAGTTGAAATGAGTAATTGTAATTGTGGTTTGCGTGGCAATGGCATTGAGGGCGTTGGCCGGTGTAAGTAATTTGATATGAAGTGGCATAAGTGACCAACAAGAACCCTTTTTGAAGTCGCTTAAAAATGAAATGAAGTGTCATTCAATTAATTCAATTTTATTTCTGTTACAGCTTTATCCGCCACAGATGGGGCCCAACAGGGCTGATGCCGATACGGAGCCGCGGAAGACTTAACGGGTTGCCGAGGCTCCGGCTCGAAGTACCTACAGGAGTAGGAACGGGGTGGTTTTTAGTCAGTAATAGTCTGATACTCACTCTCGCGTCACCCGGGTGGGAGAAGGAATTGGATGATTTTTCCCGTCAAAAAAAAAAAGCTTTATCCGCAGCTTTGCCCACGTATTCCTGTTTTATCCCATGACAGCATTTAATCGGGATAAAAAGTAAATCGGGGTAAAAGTTCATCAAAATCCGTTCAATAGTTTCGGCGTGATTGACGGACAAACATCCAAACAAAGAAACTTTTCAGATTTATAATATTAGTATGATATTTGATGGGTGGTGGTGGCCAGGAGGAGGTTTCGAAACCTACCAACGGCAAGTACCAATGTGACCTTTTCCGAGTTATATGTACTTTCTACGATTATCAACATACCTTTGACAAACGGTGAAGGAAAGCATCGTGAGCAAAACCTAGGCTTATAATTTCTAATTATAAGTTTGAAATCACCAACCCGCTTTGAGCAAACGCGGTGATGAATGCTCAAACCTTCTCCGTGTGAAAAGAGGCTTAGCTCAGCAGTGGGCATTCATAGACTGTTGATGATGATGATGAATGATGATATAGGTTGACGTTTGGCCAGTATCTTTCTATTAGGTACAATGATCTTTCACTTCAGTTATAAAACATTGATATTTATATTCCCTAAAAAAAAAACATGCCCATGGCGATGAACATGGTTGGTATAATCACACAATATAATTTATTTACTATCCAATTGTCAACACATTACATTTCAATTACAAATTTGTGTTTATTAATTAACCAACGGATTGTAAACAAAACGAACTGAACTGCAGCAGTAATCCTTCCGGGAAGGTGTTTAAAATTAACCGAGTTTTAAGGTCACCGGACCTAAAACTTTGGTTTACGAACTTTTGAACTCCAGTGATGTGAAGTAGCTGTTCTTAGATTGTTGTTCAGATTTAATCCAAGCCTGTTGTATCTTAAAGAAGTAAACAAAAGTAGAAGTCATTAGTGTTATATTGGTGGATTAATGATTATAAGTGGATTGTTTCTATACTATAGTAGTATCTTAATTATATTAAAGTTTACTAAATAATATACAAGAAAATACATCATTAACTACTGTGCAAATTTCTCGATTAATAAAAAAGAATAATTAACCATTATTATACCCTAGCAGTCAGAAGCCCCACGGAGGTTTTTACTCTAAAGTTGAAACGTAAAACCAAACAAAACAAAATGGATCCACTCCAAAGAAGATGTAAGTTCACTTACCGGCGATAGCAAGTTGCATGATAAAGAAGTTCATACGACTTTTCCTTGCATTCGTGCAAAGTAAGGCGGCGATCACAGAGGCGTTCAGCACCACTATAGCGACGAACAGCACCCACATCACCGTGAACTGGACCGACTGGAAGATAACGAATGGAAAAGTTATTGTGGTTCTTATTCTTATATGGTTAGGTGTCAGTTTTGTGTGGTTTTAAGTTTTAGTTTGGTCTTTGTGTCTGTGTGTGTTTGGAACTGTGAAATAATTCCTTTGATGCGCATTATTTTCTGGAGAAATAGATAGGAGTGTCACTAAGGCTACTTATGATAAGTTAGGTATATGTAAGTAATCATCGGAAGTAGATTATTACCAAATAGTTACTGGAACTCATTTCAAATTCCCGCCTCTTCATGACAATGCGTTTTTAATTATAGTCCAAAATCGGTGAATACACTTAAAATCTCGTTTTAGAAAAATAGTAACTAATATACCTATTATATATATAAAAGCGTATTTCTGTTTACTTTACTTTTAAATCTCACCATCCAAGTCTTTGTTTCGTATTTTGTACCATTCGTTCCTAGAGGTAGATCATCATCAATGACTTATACCAAAACTAAAATAGATGTTATAGGTACTATGCCTAACAATATAACGTCACACCTATTTAACAATATTCCTCTTTATAATCTAGACGTCTTGTCGACAAGTCTAATCGTATTTTAACATATTTTGTTTTTTACAATTTTCCCTAACATTTCAACAGATAATTTAAATTTTTCTACAAATAATTTGTGCTAAGCGTTCGTTCTATCATCGCTTCGTAATAAGAAATTAATTCTATTCGAAACTGTCTGCTTTAAATAGAGTAAGCTTCCATTAATCAATGCGTTCAAACTTCGCTTCAAAAATTAATTTACGTCTAGTCAGGAGGTTTTTACCAAGACTGTGCATACAAAAAAGGAAAGGTAGTTAAAATTTTAAATATTTCTTGTTTGATTATTTATTACTAGCTGTTGCCCACGACTTCGTCCGCGTAGAATATGATTCCTATTTTATTCCATTGGAGCATTTAATCGGGATAAAAAGTATCCTATCACCTAAGTCAGGCCATACTCTGGTATACAACCAAATTTCATTCACATCCGTACAGTAGTTTTAGCGTGATTCATGAACAAACATCCGAATAAAGAAAATTTTACATTTATAATATTAATAATGTGTATCAGAATATTTTAAGTAAAACTCTTTTGTTACTGTGTGGATGACTGATAGGCAACGTACCTATAGCTGACACTAATGGCCCGAGGAAGAAACTTTTTTGTACCTAACTGCACATTATTACATAGTATTACTATTTATACGTAGGCTCAATTACCCCTCCCCCCCTTCCTCAATCTCCCCAATCCCCGAATCCCCAACCATCCTCAAACTCCTAATCCCCAAAAGGCACGTAACGCGCTTGTAACGCCTCTGGTGTTCCAGGTGTCCATGGGTGACGCCGATTGCTTACCATCGGGTGATCCGTCTGCTCGTTTACCGGCTTATGCCATAAAAAAAATATCTCATGATCTTGAATAGAACTCTTGTATGCTCTGATTATACCTAACCACTTGTACAACTTTACATAGTGCATACTGATAGAGAGAAAGATTTTCATATTGAAGTGAGTTCGACATTGGGTAGATTTTAGCGGGCTCAAATCCAGCTTAAATTTAAAGCTGCAAATCTGGATGAGAGGGAAGGATTTTCGAGAAATTGAAGTTTAAAAACGTGAATATAATTTTAACTGCCAAATGTTATCGGTCAAACTGTGCACAGTTTATTGTTATAACTATTACCTTTGCTATGCACGCCCTCACCTTCTAACTAGATAGATACTCAATATTATTTAACTCGCAGACTCACTTCCTAAGTGTCGTAGAGAGTCTTTCTTCGACCATCACTATATATAGGAGTAACATTTTGAGAAGGATTTAAATAAGTATCAAAACGAAACAAAATATGGTTTGAGCAACAGTCACTGTCATTTAAACGGTCACATACGAATACCTACTCTAAAGATTAATATTATTAATATAAATCCAGGAAAAAGGGACACTACGGGGAAAAAGAGCAGGCCTAAAAATAGCACTAAAATGTTTTATCAAAATTATTAAGTTATGTCAGCACTACCTACTGTTAAAAGCCTGAAGTATCGCTGTTTGATAACACTATCGCGAGCTCTCGACATTCTATGACGCTGTCCCCAAAATATCCATTAGATGATTAAAACCCTTCACGATAATATAACACGTGTAATCCAACAAAAATGTTGTGGGTGGATTTGTTATATATTTTTATCAATTTACTATAATATCGTACGGCTTTGGCTAGAGTTTTTTTCTTTTTTAAGGGGGGAAAATCATCGAATGACTGCTCCCGCCTGAGTGTCAGACTCTTACTGACTAAAAACCACCCCGTTCCTTTCCTTGCACGTCGAGCCGGAGCCCCGGTAGCCCGTTAGGCTCCGCGATAGGGCTATGACTTAGTTGCAATACTGCAATTTATTTATTTCTGGCAATTTTGCAATTATTGCTATTTGGCGCCGTTTATGTATAAGATCGATAATTTGTAGTTAGACACTGAAGAGTAGGATTATAAAAATGAAAATGTACGCCGCCTCGCCAGAGGGATAAATTAAGGAAACATATACTGGACTTCTTTGGACAAATGCTGGAAATAGGGCATGTACAGAGCTATCTAAGTAGGCATATCTTTTTAGGGAGATACAAAAAATATACGTAATTATGACTAAAATAATGGTATGCATAAGCAGTCACTTGATTATGTAACTATAGCCAAAAGGAATAACGGTAAAAATTTTAAATTACGTCACGAACCCACGCACAATGGTATATATAATATATGAAATAAAGTTTCAAAAGCTACATAATTATTATAATCATGAAATAATTCAACCTTAACATTCTTAATGTTATGTTTTCGAACTTTGATGTTACTAGTGTGCTTAACATGATAACTTTGAAATTATACTTTGTTTTCATATCATTAAAAGCATCGTCAAGCATAAATTATGTAACGTAAGAAAATATGCATATCATTAAGTCTTGAAAATTTTGTTATATCATAACCTATTATACGCTAAAGATAAATATGCAGAGGTGTATTGGCATATTATAAAACATTTATAATTCTTACGGATGGACCGGCTCGACCGGAGTGATACCACGGCCTCACAGAAAACCGACGTGAAACAACACTTGCGTTGTTTCGTCGTATGAGTGAGGTTACCGGAGGCCCAATAGGCATGGCGACTATTTTTAATTTTTTGTCCGTCTTTTAGATATTTTAAAAATCTTCAATACGTATTTTTTCTTTTTTCTCGTATCCAAAAAAACATGTAGATATTTTGAGTTAAAATGACGCGTGACGTCACAATTAGGTACGATTTCTCCGTAAGTGTGACGTCAACACCCCCCACTCCCTAACTTTAATGCGGAATAACTACGTATTCTTCTGTTAATTTGATAAAACAAAAAATACGTGTCCGATATTTTCGTGCGATCTTAATGACGGACTAATTACTTTTTTGATTTTTTTACCCTGTCGACACGCCTATTACCGCCCTCTCCGGTATTCCTTATAGTCTTTAAATTCCTAACCCCCAAAAGACTGGTAACGCATTTGTAATACCTCTAGTGGATCGGGTGTCTATGTGTGGCACCGATTGCTTAGCATAAGGTGATCCGTCTACTCGTTTACCGGTTCAATCCATAAAGAAAATGCTAATATTATAATTTGAAACTCTGTTGCTTTGTGTATCGAATGGTTTCTCTTACGAAGGTCGTTATGAAAATCCAACTAATGTATAATTATGTAGTAGTCATTAACATAACATAACATTTATCCACGAAGGGGTAGGCAGAGGTGCACATTACGGCATTTAATGCCGCAGTACAATGTTTTCACTATTTATGTTATCTATGAATCCCGTGTAATAGGTGGTGAGCCTATTGCCATTATGTCGGGCACAGTTCCAGACTTCGTGCTACTACTGAGAATTTAAAAAAAGAACTTAGTAATACTATCTTACTACTACTTAGTAATCACACTTGCGACCACTCGGTCAACGAGGCAGTCAGCATAAACCTTTCATGCATTGACAGAATTTTTTGTTTACTTACAAACATCTATGAAAGTCAACATTTAAGTTTACAAAAGTCAATGAACCTGTTCTAAGTATAAATGCCATTTAATCCATAGCATTAACTACTAAACCAATGTTTGATAGCTGTAGATAGTAATTATTTAGATAATGGTTAGGTGACGAGTTGAGACTGACAGCGTACGTGTAGTTATGATTCATATCATAACATAACATCACGCCTTTTTATCCCCGAAGAGGAAGGCAGAGGGTGCACACAGGGGTAACACCCACTTTTCACTATTTATGTCATAAGTCCGATGTAATAGGGGGTGAGCCTATTGCCATATACCGGGCTCATTTCCAGACTCCGTGCTACAACTGAGATTTTTTTAAAAAAAAACCCAGTAATACTCTGCCCGACCGGGGAATCGAACCCGAGACCCCTTTGGCCGGCAGTCGCACTTGCGACCACTCGGCCAACAAGGCAGTCATGATTAATATCAAAATAGCTATATCATAATAACATGTGTGAGGGACTAAGATATTTGGAATTTTCTTCTTTTAGGAAAGTGGTTTAGGACTTGATACCAATATTCACCAAGGATAAAAAGTACTAATATGACTCTGCGCTGTCTATTCAACATTGCCGATTGAAAGCCAACAAAGCAGTAGGCGCGGTGTTAGGACTACTGGCTGCCTACTGGCTGGCTGGCTTCGATTCCCGCACAAAACAACTCTTTGTGTGATCCACAGATTGTTGTTCCGGGTCTGAGTGTCATGTGTATGTCAACTTGTATGTTTGTAAACGCACACACGAGTGAGGAGAAAATCCTAATGTGGGGCAACGTTTTTTAAACTAAACAACTAAAAAAAAAATACTAAAATACTTCTACTTATCAGAAAACACAGGAAGATCTATCGAATAAATACGAGATCTCGAGTACCTACAGTCCATGACGAGGCCAATATGTATGTATAAGATTTAGAAAACCTGCAATCACATGATATTTTTTATTTTTATTTTGATAGTTCCAGCATCAGTGTATAGTTTTGTAGTTTTGTGCCTATGAATAAGACAAACGTGTATTATTCTGAATGTAGATATTATAGTGTTACTTGACTTACATCATAAAAGTAATAGAAATTGAGGTCGGTGGTGGTGTTGGTAGCATTCTTGATGGGACCGTGATCATCATCAGGAGTGAACACAGTCGTGAGGAATGCCGGCCGCGGCGTCGTCTGCTGTTCAAGTTCTTCGATCATGATGTCTAATTCCATAATACTGCAACAAATAGAAAGATGCAATGAGTAAGGCAGTGGTTTAGTACAATACATAATTTTCTCAAAAACCTGTCTACATGTAGAACTAATAATATAAACGCTAAGCTTATGTGGTCTCAGTAGGCTTGTAATGATAAATCATTAGGCTATTCGATAAAACCATTATTTAGAGGTATAGCAATATCTCTAAATAGTATAAAATAAAGTCGCTATCCGCTGTCTGCCTGCTCCTATGTATGCTTAGATCTTTAAACTGTCAAACACCAAGCGGTCACCGGTGACCGCAACCTATTGTTCTTTAATTGTGTCTATAATAACGGTGCTCGACGAGTTAAAACTATGCAACAGATTATGATGCGGTTTTTTTAATAGATACAATGATTCTTAAAGAAGGTTTATATGAACCTATAATACATGCATATTGCACTCATGCGAAGCCGGGGCGGGTCGCTAGTAATTTATAAATAAAAATCATTTCAGTTGCACCAATTAGTGCCATATCAAACGATAATGTCACGTCATTATTGCACCGACAATTTTTGCATAAAGCCCGCCATATCATTCATCACTTGCCGGCGAAGTTACGCCGAAATGAACGCCGATACACAACACGAGGACAGATTTTTCCATGCCTATATTGAAGGTATATTGTTAGGACTTTGTGTCGGCGAAAGGTGACATTGTCGGCGAACACGTGTCGGTGTTAGTGATGCCTTGTTTAATACGTACAAAGGCCTGAGTTACTGTACTATAGCCAGAGCATATCATGGTCTCCTTTAACTAACGAATATCGTTTGAATTTGTATCGGATTTTTAACCGACTTCAAAAATAATCAGAATGTTCTCAATTTGACGCATGTCGCGTGCGCAATTATCTCGCAATCGACTGAACCGATTGTGATGCAGTTTTCAGAGGTGTTTGTAATAATTAGTAGAAGGTTTTACTAGGTATATTAATTAACCGACTTTCATTAAAAAAGGGGTTTGAAGTCGATTTCTTTAAACGTTGTAGTTTATAATAGAATTATAATGTTATATTCCAATAGGGAGAGCAGAGGTTTTACACTAGTTAATTTATAACCAAGGAAGAACGAGATCGCTCTCTCAGTTTTTCCAGTTGTAGTTCAAGTACCTACATGATAATAAAGACGAACTATTACCAAAAACCGATTTATCGTGTCACTCATAATTTTAAAATCTATGCTAATATTATTGTCGCGGAGAACCGAACGGGTAACCGGGGCTCCAGCTCGACGTGCAGGAGAAGGAACGGGGTGGTTTTTAGTCAGTAAGAGCCTGACACTCCCTCCCGCCTCACCCAGGCGGGAGCAGTCATTCGATGATTCTCCCCCCACAAATTGTCGACTTTTCAGTAGAGCGATTATAAATTTCGCGCTCACATATTTGCTTATAAATCTGTTATAAATGATACTAGCTACTTAATATTTGTACAGTATGCACAGAAGTTAGTACCGTTTATGATAATATAATTATTTATTTTATAAACTATGCCTTTTCAAGTATAATGGGTCGCATGTGCACATACAACGTTCTTTTGCCAAAAAAAATATTGAATGAGGTGTCTTAAGGATACATAAAACAATATTCGACGAAACTATTCACGATTCATCGGCATATCAAACATTATTTTACGAATTTTGGCGGTTGTCTCCGTGTTTTATATGAAACTGTAATACTAAGAAAGTAGAATAGGTTTAAAATTCATCATTATTACTGAGTATTTTTATATATTTAAAAATGTTGGTGTTTTCTTAATCAATTTATTCGTCAATGTAGTAATCAATGTACGAGTAAATTAAAAATAAATACAAACTGATTATATACACTATGAGGAATAACCTAATCAAAATATTTATTATAAAATTATTAAAAGAGGTGACAGAAAAACAGAATAATGCTCTTACAATTCTTACAAAATAAATACATGGCGATTCATAAGAAAAAAAATATTATAGATCACTTCAAACTAACTATTGACTTATTTCTTTCTGTGGTTATTCTTATGAATAAATCAGTCATATATAATTATAATATAAAGTTAGCTTAATAATAAAAACACAATAAATAATTATGGCACCATTGTGAATATAATAAAAAATATTAAAAATCAATAGTCTCAAACATAGAAAACAATTATGTATATCAAATATTCCGAAAACACTAAACTAAAGAACAAACAATATACTAACTACTAGTCTACTAAAGAGGAAAGATTTAATTTTTTGTTTGTTTGAAATGAATAGGCTCCGAAACTACGGAATCGATTTCAAAAATTCTTTTAGCGTTGGAATCTTACATACTACACCCCTGATAAGAAAAAGAAGGGAACCGTGTGGAAATTTCGATAATGTAACACGATTTGTGAAAAAACAACCATAAATATTGCTTAATCTATTGACTACTAATAAAAAACTGTAAAAACAGATGCTTTTGTATTGTTTTGGATTCCTATCTCCAATCCTTTAAAAGAGCGCGAACGAAGCCTTGGGCAGAAGCTAGTCCATTAAAATAACATATTCATTTCATTGAATTAGAAAATCCCTGATCCTAATGCAGTTACATAGTAGTATTAGTCCTTGAAAACCCGTAGTATTTCATTTTTTAAAACTAATTTTTAGTCCGTCGATGTCAAATTTACCATGAAAGTTTGCCCGTCTTTTTTAGGTAATAGTATTAAAAGTAGCGTCTTACCAGTACAAATCAGGCCACATTATTAGTACCAAAGTAATAACCCGGAAGTCCCTGAATTACAATATGTGCTATAATATCTTAGGACTCTATCTTTTAAACCACTGAACGTATTTGATTGAAATTTGGTTTACGGTTCACTGGTACTGAAACAATCACTGGGACAATCTATGGCTTAAAATACTGAACCTATTTGAGTGCAACTCTGTTGAAATTTGTACATTCGGTCAATATACTACCGTCTAGATATCATTTGGTCGTGTTTTTTCTTAAATAATGTGATTGGATAGATGCAAATGAGTTCACATGGTCACAACCGCTAGTGATCATGTCTTCTACGATTACCTTCCTTTAATTTTTGTGGCGGTCTCTGTAATCGTCTTCTATGACAGTGCTGTTGCAGTACTTATCTCATGCAGTTTTAACTATAGTTTTGTAGCGTATTGCGTCGCTTGCTCGTTATAATATGTATAAATAAAATTTCAATTCTTTGGTGAATCCTGATTCAAACATCTGTTTTTCGTCTTGGTGGTGTACTTTATTTCATATTTCCTATTTAATGCAAATTCCAGCTCAAAGATCGTCTATTCCACTGGTACCAAAAACTCACCAATTGAGCCTGACCTGCTGTTTCCTCATCGTTTGAGAAATCATCATTCAAAAATTTTATAATAAAATTAAGAATAAAATTATATTGGATATAATTATTTTTCTTAGATTCTGTAAAAGTAACAAGGAGTATATGCATAACATAATAGTTTTAAAAAAATCAGTTAAATAAATGTATGTACATAACTTAGATATATGTAATTTGATGAGCGCTCGAATGGTCTACTGTGGTAGTACGCACTCACTTTTTCACGTGTCACTGTTTATTTTTTTTTTTGCTCTAAACTGGGAGTTTGAAAAAATAAACTATTTCGATATTTCTAATACAGCGGACAACGCAAGCAAACATGTCAAAAAAGGGAGGCGTGCACTCTTGTGTTTAGGTTCATTGGTATTTTCAATGTAAACTTATATTAATTACTTTTTTGCTGTACCTACCTAGTCTAAACGGTACATTTAGTTGTTAATAGATTATTGAATAAGCTGTTCATATTTTAAATTAAATTTAACCATTTTATAGCAATTTTAAGATTTCGAATATTGTTTTATAATAAAACAGTTGGTAAAAAGAAGTGTAATTTGCATATACGGCACTCACTTTAATTATTTTTTTTGTAGAATAATGTTTTATGCGTACTTGCGGACGAAAAAAATTCAAAATTTTACGTAGTAAAATGTACTAGGTTTATAAGAAACTGGAAAAATAGGAGAAAAAATAAGACAAGTGCTATTAGATACCGTAATGTTATGTAAGTTATTATTAAAGTATTTAGTTCAGATTTAAGTTCTAATAAGTAAGCTTTGGTATTTCGTAAAAAAATGTTTTATGTGATTATAAATACTGTCTTTGTGGGAAATTTATAAAACGTAGTGTAAATTGTATCAAACCATTATATACAACGAATTTTATCAAATTTCGGGTATTCATCGTAACAAACACCACTCGCTGCTACTTCGTCGAACAACGTTACTTAGGATGAAGCGACACGGCACGCGCAGCTAATTGCGCAGGAGCAAGGCGGAGAATATTGTTGTATGTGATCATGCATAGTTATTTTACGTAGTCGGCGCGGATAAAACTTTATTCGAGCATTGTATCTTTTGAATTAATGGATAAAAATATGTAAAAATAGTATCAATCGATAGTTTACATTATAAGGATGACGAATTTACCATAATATGAATTTTGACACATGTGATTATAACACTTTATTCTTCCAATGGGACGATTATTACAAATAAAATGTGAAACTTAATCATGGTAAATTATTGAATGTAACTGGAATTTAATTGGGATCTGAACCGGAGATATACAATAATAACTTCCAAATAAATACGATTTCCTCTTTGAGAAATAATACACCGAGATCTGTAATTAAACTGTTCTCTTATACCTTTCTTTATGGCATTTGAGCAGACGGTAAGGTATCATCGCCTTATGGTAAGGTAAGGTAAGCAACCGCAGCCCACGTATACCCAAAATACTAAAGGAGTTACAAGAGCATTGCCAGCCTTTGGGTTAGGATTTGAGGATTGTGCTGTGATTATTAGGCCCCCAGGAACCCCACACACACAACACTTCTCTGCATCACCCTATGGTTGGCTGGTAGAGAATGCCATTCGGCATTAAGTCCGCCATTGTATAAATTTGTACAAAAGTGTTAAATAAATAAACAACACTGG